CACACACTCAAACATACACCAACACACACACACACACACACACACACACACACACACACACACCTACCTCAGGGAGCACAGCTAAGCCTATGAAACTCTCCAAGCCACAATTCAGAGGAAACAGGGCTATTCCCCAATCTGCCTTCCCAACCCGGAATGATTCAATTTCCCCTTTGGCTGACTGCACATACGACACTTTCTCATCCCATTTTGTCAAACAGGCCCATTCAGCTCTACATTCCAACACAGACGACATGCATCCCTTTTCTGCTCAATCATAACCCTAACGGAATAAAGGACCAACTCAGAAACATGTAAAGAGAGAAACAGAGAGAAAAAAAAGGTTTGGCCAGAGATCTTGGAGTAGAATGTCAGAGAGAAGAGGAAAAAGTCATCGTTGGTTGGCCAAGGCTGGAAGTTTTCTTTTAATTAAAACAAATAGTGTGTGGGAGGGGTCCGTGGGGACCGAGGGAAGAGGCAGTCTAGGGAGAGGGATACTTTAATCCTGCTGTGGCACGACAGGCTACATCATGCATACAGGGATGGACAGAGGTGCATGTGCACAGACACTCATATACATATAGTTTGTGTTCAGATATTTACACTGGATTATTTGCTATTTGGCTGACAGGTCCAACAATAGCATAGGCTTAACTGCCTCATTTGCTACAAAAGACATGACAGGCAACCTACTGATTTTGTTTTGTGACCGTGCATCAACCCCTCTATAGCAGGCAAAAAGTAAGCCCTCAACTGCTGTTCTATTAAGATAAAAGGTGTAGGTTAGCCTAAATGCGCATTGTTGCTATAACACGTAGGATATGCCAGAAAAAGACATGGCAGATCATTTCATGTAATATGATTTTTAAAAAACTATGGAGATTAAAAGACAAGCATCAAATAGTCTGTTTCCATTGGTTTCTGTTTGATATCAAACAGTCTCATGATACCAGATGATCAGAGATCTCAGCAGCTACCGATCGCCTGGTGATTTCTAAATGCAAAGTAGTTGCTTTAATGGTGGTGAGAACGGTTGCTAACAAACGTAGGGCCATTACTTCAAGGACATGCCTTATCTGAAGCAATGCTCTCCCCACATTTTCTTCTGTAGTGAAACAAACTGAGATAGAGCAAATCAATTCTTAATACGGAGCAAGCTTTTTAAAACATTGAAAATGCATGTCCTAAGCAATGTTATTCAATGTTTCCACCCAGTTTTAGCAATGAAAGCTGAAGAAAGTCCTCAGCCTCTATATACACCAAGTGTTTAGAGACTTTTACAATGATTTTACAATCAAAGAATTACCATTCAAGCACACCTGGGAGCTGGCCAGAACTGTCAGCTATGGAGCTCATCTTCTAGAGAACTTCAGACCTTCAATATTACTTTGATTGTGGCTGAGGGGGGAGACAGCAGTTTTTATTCATCACCTCCCATCCCAAAATATTTCCAGCCAGTCTGGGGACTCAAACCATCAATCTTTCAGTCAAAACCTGCTTCTCCAACCTTCAGGCTACATCTGCCAACTTTTCACCATAACCCTAGGCAGTCCCGGCTCAGCCCAGCCCATACTAACCCAGCTCCCTGTCAAAGCAGGGTCAGGGGTTCTCTGGGGTTTCCTGGGGTTCACATAAGAGCAGGGTTGGACGGGGGCAGCCTGTCAGCTTGATTGACAGCTGGGCCTCACGCTTATAAACTTTAATGGCTCTTGTCAGGATACTCCAGGGGCCCCCACCTGGCAGGTATGGCAAACACACATGCAGACACGCATGTGCACTATATACAAGCACACATTTGTCTGCCACATCATCCTTAGTGACATTTCTGTTTATTTAAGTTTGTGGTTCTGGCTGTGCCTGGAGGTCTGCATCTTCATATCATCAGATGCAGCGGCGATGGTTCACTGTGACCATGTGGACTGATTACTGAGGAAATCTTTCCTTGTGTGACACAGCCATCTAACACACTAGGTCCTCGCCAACAAAACTGAGACACCATGGAAAGCCATGAGCTGAGAGTGAGGAATGTGCCCGGTAAAAACATTCCTGAGGGAGGCTGAAACCAAAACAGTGGAAAGAGGAGGAAATCCACTTGTTCAGCAAAAGGAAAGTGCACAAGGTATCCATTGTTTACTGTTGTGTCCATGTGCATATGCTGGCGGTCACTAAAACCGGTTGATTATGTTATGCTAACTGAACAAGGTAATGATGTGTATTGTGCAAAGCAGGTGACCTTTTCGGAAAGGACTGTAGGTTTGCCTTGTAGTCGGAGGGTGGTGGGGAATAGTCAGGCCCAAGGGGGGACACGTGAAGTCGAGCGTCTTACTGTAACTGGAGTGTAAACACACCGAATAACCTCATTGACAGCTGGTAACAATTAGCATATTAGCCTGTTGTTTATCATATAATTGCTAACAACCATGGTTCGAACTGGGCCAACATCTGTTTGCGAGCAATCATCAATTAGTCCCGAGTTCAGAGTTGACTAGTGTAGTCGCCAATGCATCATTCATGAGCTATTTAACTAAAAAGACTTCATGATTACGCACTACAGTGGTGGGGGCGAATAAAAGAGCCTGTAAAGTCCATTCAGCAATTTTCATCCCACTCTTTTCCAGCTAATTTGAGCTGCTTTCAAAGGAAACCTAATGCTCATTATAGCAAAGCTTGTCTTAACCTGCCAATAAAAGCACAGATATATTTCTCACACTAGCCAGCAGTAAAACACTGAAAGTACAAGCTACACAGGAGGTGAAGAGGATATAAGAAACACCTTTAGGATGTTTTAGTTCCAGTGTAAAGGCAGCCAAATTCTCCCTTTGAGACTGCCACACAACAATAGCACTTAGAATAAACAAGATTAGGTATGTGGGATTTCTTAACTATTTATATTGCCCTTTATTAAATCTAATATACAGTGTCAGTATGTTTTGCAGCATTATGTCAATTCTAAATTCCAAACTCTTCCGTAATTGTGCAATATAGAAAATCATATGTCTATACAAATTGGTAAAAAACATAGCAATACTTGTTGGCATATACAGTATCATTCAACCCTGATTTTACAGTTTCACCTACAGTATATGCAATAGTTAGATAAATATGGTGACGTCTTCGGTTTTGGACACTTCCAGACAATACAAACCCTCAGGCAGTTTGAAGCTTCATAAACAAAAGCACAGCTGACCAGCTAATCCAGCTGTGGTCCCATGCCTGAGCCTACTCATTCGCTCCATTCACACTCAGCCAACGCACACACACATGCACAAACTAAAATATATCCTCTAGAAATAACCCACTTAGTGGACACATTCAAACAAGTCCAAAATTAATCTGACTGTTTTGGCCACTTTGCACAGATTTGCCTTGTTGCACAACCTGCTTTGTGAGGCCGCAGTGCCCACTTTGCCCAAGTTTTTTCTTCTTTTCCCATTTGTCATCAGAGGCTACTGCCGGACTTTTTCAGCAAATGAAAAAGAAAAAGAAAAAAAAATGACAAAAAAAAAGCCAAGCCTTTTATCTTTCCCTCTAGCTCAATTCCTCGCTGACGTTTTCCAGCTACATTCCAAGTCCATTACAGAGACCTTTGCTGAGATTATGATAAAAACACTTGCTTCCTGCCATTTTGATCTGATCAGGGACATTTTAGCCTCTCTTTTTTCTTTGCTATCAGTTATCAAAGCTCCACACAACTGAATGATCTGCCTTTGTTCAAACAGCTGACATCACTTGCTGCCAAAGAGCCAACCGTCATACAAACTCTAGGTCTATAGTTAGCAAGTCAACAACATCTACATTTGTGTTGTTAATCACTTTATCAATGCCATCATCTGCTAACAAGGCAACCTATACAACTCTTTCTATCAGCTCAACTCCAAATACCATTTAATGCTTCTATTCAAAGTTTCAGTAAAAAGCTGAAACCCAATAGTTGTGACTTGTATACCGTCCCGGTTCAATTTAAATTGAATTTTTTCAGATGTTTACTTGAGATGATAGTTGGCTTTTAACATAAATTATGTTGTATTCTGATATTGTGCATATCAGGAATCAATAACAATATTGGACTATTTTTCTTGTATGATACTTTATGTACAACTCTCAAGCGTTTTCCAAAAACCTGCATATAATTAAAATTCATTCCATACCTTTCCAGACTTTGGAGACCTGAATGGGTACTGTACTCTGTACAGCTGCTTTATGACAATAGTTTCCTCCCTCCTACTTCAAATGATTACTCCACTTCCCTTTATTATCTGATCCCTTGGCCTAGACTGACCCTGCTGGAAGAGGTGCGAGGGTAACCATTTTCAGATGTGATGGGGCCCCGGGTGAGAGAGTGAGAGGGGTGTCCTGCAGGGCTGAGGCAATTGACGCTCCCTGCCTTGTGCCTATTTTCGAATTTTCAGCTCCCTATGGCACTCATCCAGTGACCTCCTCCAAACCCCTGCTGAGGCCAATGCTCTGCAGGCTGCTGAAACCTAAGAAGCAAACCCCCGATCTAATTCCTTATTTTTGCAGCAGGGCGGTGTTGTGAGTAACGAGAGCGTCATTCAAACTGGAAGTCCTGAGCACAAACCTCCGTGACAGCAAAAAGCATCCGCCCTGCTGAAGTGTCCTTGAATTCCAGAATCCTTACCAGCTGTAATGGCAATGTTACTCTATGTAACTTTGAGTCATTGGTGGGCACAGTGCAGGTAAACAGAGTTAAGTTATTAGATTAAGCCTCTAGTTTGTGCAGTTCCCCTCTTATGCAAAACCTTGCTCCAGCAGCGCTGTTAGTTTTCTTTGACAGTTTTGGCACGTAGCAGTGCTTTCCTCTTAAGAAGAAATATTTAAGGGTTAATAACAGTGCCGGCATGTTCCACAGTGATTTACCTAAGCTCCAGTCTGTCCAGTGTAATATTTTTTCCACCCAGTTCTGCAGTAGTAACTGTCTTCATGTTCCACACAACGGTGCACTGCTTGGTTGCAGTGACCGAGTTTTACTAATGGGGTCCTATGTTATTGTTCTGTTTGTTTTGCTCTTACTCCAAGATCCACATGGAACAAGGCCATGCATATTTTTTATGATTCCAAGAACTCATTTATAGCTTGAGTTGTCTGCCAGGTTGGAACAAGATGCCTAGGGATGCACAGATACCACCTTCAAGAAGGCAGATAGTTTTACAGCTAAACATTTAAGTACCTATTTAATCAAGTATTTTAGGCTTAGTTTATTTCGAAGACTGAAATATAATTATATTTGTCCATCAGATAAATTCGACTGAACACAACTATTGTAATTTTATCTATACAACTGAAGTGTGAATGCTTACTTTTGAATTTGTGTAACGTGACCTTTACAAGGACTGATGTTTGGCCATATTAAAACAAAGACAATGTTGTTACACCATATTATTATGACCATATCCAGTCAGAGAACTACCTTTTTGTCATGCTCTGTAAGGTACTGTATACCTAATAAGAACTGTAGATCCATATGTATTAGTATAACTGTTCTGAATGTCTCACTGGGCAAAAGATAATGGCTTTAGCAGGTACAGCAGTCATTCCAATGGCAACCAACACTCGGGGTGTGCTTGTGGCTAGGCCTGCAGCAATACTTGAGAGTGGTCAGTTTTTCAAAATAAACAAAGTTAATGCACGAGTGTAAGTCTGGATATTCACTCTTGATATGCCTGCTTACTTACTTGGTATTCTTGGTGTTGACTAACTACTTTTTGAATTTGAAAATTGGACTTTAAGGTGGGTTCACTGCTCAAACATGTCAGTGAAATTTGCACCTACCATTCACACTGAACTGAACTGAGTAGAACTAAAACACCATAACTGACACATGAAGACTTTGTAAACACTTTTCTGAGACATCGAAGGCATCGTGTGATCACAAGTAGACAGCTCTACACAGTTGTGAATGCTTGTGAAGTTTCAGACAATAAATACACTCAAGTGTTTTAAGTGCCATAGCGATGTATAAAACAGCCATCTTACTCCTCTCTGGCTGTGTGCCTAAAAGCAATTATTTTTGTCCTGTTCATTAGTTCATTAATTTACATGAGCTGTGAACAAAACAGCAACAGATTACAAGTGGACTTTAGAGACACACTTCAATGCCAGGCACGAACTACAAGTTGGCTCAGGATATAGCCTGGGCATAGAGTATCTGGATACAAGACACTAGTTCTAGACTAGGGAGACACAAGTGTGCTTGTACTCTGTAGACACGATTTCTTCTTCACTAATACACCCTCTTCCTATTAAGCTATATAATCTCAATTGTGTAGCACAATTCAATAGTCTTTAAAAACAAAAGCACTGAGATATCTTGGATGCATAATGTGAGGGGAGAAAATGAGACTCAGCAGCCTGTCCAAAAAAGCACTCCAGCCTCTCCATTAGCTGGAGAGAAAAGAGTGGGCGGCTTTAAAGAGTTGCTATTCTGTTGTGCGCCATGAATCACAGAGCGCTGATGTTTGTTCATTTCCACGGCCCAACCTACACACTCCCACAATTAACCTTCTGCCTGGAAATCCTCTCCCTCTGACGTGTTTGTGCGTGTGTCTGTCTGTGTGTAGCGTGTGTGTGGTGTTGACTTCCTCTCTGAGTGGTAGAGAGAGCGTAAGGGAACATGGAGGGAAAATGGTTTTGGCTAAGATAGAAGAGTACTTTTGTCAGAGGAATGTACAAGCTTGTCCTGTATTTTAACTTTATATATCTATGCATGGGGGCATCATTAGCATGCACCTTTTATTGTGTTTGGTGGTTAAAGTAAGTGTTCATTCACAGGGAAATCTGTTTAATGACCATTTATGTGACAGAAAATCTAAAATGGATGTAAATATTCAAGGAAATAGTTTTTTAGGTTCAGAAGGAATCAGACAAATCTATTTTATGCTCACTTATTTCTAACATGTTGATTTTGAATGAAATGTAGCCAGGAATAAAAATGTGAAGCAAGTTGAGTGCAACTGCATTGTGAAAATGTCACACTGACAACCCAAATAAACCAGATGCTCTTTATCTGCTTAAAGCCCTGCATGTTCACTTCAACACAATTAAACATAAAAACTACGAACTAGAACTAGTGAGGCTATTAAAAAAGCTCATTACAGCATTAATGACAACATAGTTAACTAAGTCTGCATACTTGTTTTTGCATACCATACTGCTGGCAATAATATGTAACCTGCACAATTAAAGGAATTTACAGTTTCAGGAAAAAATCTGACATCACAGTAATGTGCCAATTTATGTCGCTGGGACTAACTTGATCACATTTTCTATATGGGCTATATGTGCATAGCTCCCATCGTAAACCTCAGTCTCTATTTAATCTCACACCAGCCACAAATTTAGTCCTGAATTCCAAATGTATTTGTCAAATCTTAGTGCCTTTCTGAGGATATTTTGACATTAATTTATCCCTCTTCCTTTTGGCTCTCATCTTACCTCATTGCCTAGCAGAGCGGAGACGCAGGCTTCTGAGGCATCACATATGGCAGTGAGGTCATGACCCCCCTCCAGGGCAAGCACCACTCGACCGCCTGCCAGACCCATCAGCTGCCTGGTCAGGTAGCCAAAGCCTGGACACACAGGAAATGACAGCAAAGAGAAGGCAGAGAGGGAGAGGGAGTAAGGGGAGGAGAAAAAGAATGAGATGGGGGAGCACTGATGTTCAAGCTCTAACTTCCTTTTTGGATATTGATCAAAGAAAAAAAGAGAGAAAAGGGGGTTTGGGCATGGATGAGGAAAGGGTTGACTGCATCAGAAAGTGCACTGTGGATTTACTGGGGACCAAAAAAGAAGCCATAATATGAGCCAGGTTTAATTTCAATAAATGCAGCTTTGCGTTTAGGCTTGGTCAGTCTTTGATCTTTTTCTTTCAGGAGGAGGGGAGTTTAAATATATGCATTCAGCCATACTTTCTTCTCCCATGAATTTTCCCCATATCCCCTCTTCCTGAAATCCTCTCTAAACCACCCATATCACCCCCTGCTCTTATTTGAGATCTGCCGAATGGTTTTAGAAAAGCTCTTTGTTGGCACGCCAAGGTCTCGATCTGAATACACAAGTCAGAGGCACAAAGTAAACACAAGGCGTGTGTTTAAGCGTCTGTGTGTGTGTCTGCCAGTCTTTCCTGCTATCAAAGAATGCGTTGCAGTGTAAAAGCATGAGTGAGATTATGGAGGACATGTATTAAAATGTGCATGCATCATTAAAAGTTCTTTTGAGAATTGTTATCTATGAGCAATTAACTTGGTAGCTGTGGTCAGTACTTACATTTGGCTGTCAGTTTATATCCTCCAAGGGGTGAAGCATGTCCGTCTACCGCATCAAAGCCTGAAGATACCAGAACCACGTCTGGGGAAAACTCATTGGCAATAGGCATAACCACCGTCCTAGAGTTAGCAACAGGAAAAAAAAATTTATAGACTATATAAGTGAGGCAGATACATTTTCTGAGGTCAGATAAGCTATATATGGGACACTTTGTTTGTGTTTTGGCTCGCTGCCCTCCACAGGATGGCCAGAACATAGAGATACTAAACTTAGTATCTCAAAAACACTGACAGAATGAAAAGCTTGGTGATAAGTGAGGTACAATCTTTTCCTGTTGGTTGAAGGTCAGTCTCCCCACAAACTTGCCCTGTTGAGTCACATCATTTCCATAACAGATATTGTTGCAGCTGCAAATGTAACGTCTATTTAATAGGCTGGCTGAACGACTTTGGTATTTAAAGTGGTAATTCAACCAAGTCTCACATTCTGATAAATCTACACTCACCTTAAAAATAATTGCACCATTTCTGGTAGTTGGGGAAATATTAACTAAGAAGAATGATTGACTTGCTGCAGGCTTGTTAATTGCACAGTGAACTCTGTCACCTCTGACAGCTAAACTGACTGTTTGAATTTAAAAGGACTACTATTAAAATATGTATATGGCTATATGCCTTTAGTGTGCTTGCTGTGCTACTGATGCTGATTGTTGTATATGGTGTAACCAAATGGAGATGCTACATATCATTTTTGCTATTTATCTGTAATTTTCAGTTATTTTATAGATTTCTCTCCCTTTCATGGTTTTCAAAGAAAACATCCAACTAATGAGTTTGTATGTACAGTATGTGTGTGGCAGACAAAATTACAGCATACACTTTTTGAAGTGGAAAGTCCGGAAATTTGGAGGCAGCAATAAACTATAACATACATAAGTAAAAAGGAGAAACGGAATGACAGATATAATTGCATGTGTATATGTGTGTTAAGTGTGCAGGATAATTCTAACACTGGATGGGTGGGGTGACTGAGGGCAGTTTGTGTACAACCTTCATCTAAGACACATGTGGTAGGGAAGGGGTACTTGTGTGCAATGTGTCATACACATAAATCAAATCAACAGTGGGGTACTGTGTAATGATTCACTGCAAGTTGTGGCTGGAAACTCCAGTCCGGTTTACATGGTGACTCCGTTTAAAAAAAAACAACATGCAGTATGTGTGTTTAATACTAAAATAGTTTTGCCAAGGAAGGTTAGATTAGTTTAACTTTATCAGATTTATTTTACTTTTTAGAGAGCTGGACAGAACTTTTTTAAAATGAAAGAAATTAATCCAATTATAAACCTGGTCATTTATGAATTGCATAACTCCAAGTTTGGTTTTCTGTATCTGTAAGTGAGGCATCTATAATCAGTAATGAATCACTCGACTGGTCTATAATACTAGGGTTGGCACACTAGAGGCTTAGTCGACTTCGTATAAAAAGTACAGTGTGTCATAGTAATCTGGTTTAGCATGATTTAGGATGTCTCACTTAGTTCATAAATAGTTGAACTTCCCAGATGGCAAAACAAGTGGTTCCCTCTGATTCAGGTTCTACACAGGAATTTTTGGGGTTCTGGGATATTTGGGCAAGCAGTGTTTTGGTGAGGTCTGCCAGTGACGAAGTACCACTGGGTTCCGTCACAGGTCCTCTGTACTTTGCAGACCTCAGGAACACGGCACTGGTTTGCTGGCTGTGGGCGAGCAACGTGCCCTGAACTCCGCAGACCACCGGTTTTTCCATTTCTTGTTCACCACCAAATTATAACCCTTTACTGCATACACCACACCCCCCCGCCACAACACAACATACATACGTACACACAGCTGTCTGAGGGAGAAGCAGGAAGGTTGTATTAGGAGCTTTTTGGTAGTCCCAGACAGCAAGGATACACGGAGTGTGTGCGTCATTGTGTGTCAGTGTGCCTATAGCAACATTTCAGAGGAAACGTAATATAAAAAAGATAAAAGAAAAGGATAATAAAAGAAAAGGATAGAATACAAAGTTTGAGTGAGAGAGACAAAGATACAGAAAATGAAAGAGGGCAAGGCCTTAGAAAACCTTTGGGGGAGGAGTCTTAAAAGAAAACATGGACTAAGAATGAGTCAGTAACATGAATGAACAGTGGATGAAAGAGATGAAAATGATGTCAGCATTATGACAAGTGAAAATGTGTCGACAAAGGTAACATGATCCGCTGTATCAAAAGTTCATACGCTTTTAATCAGACAGCATTCATATAACTAGACAATTATGTGAAATGTACAACCACTCCGCTTGGAGAAGTTAATATTTTCCAGCTCTAGTTTCAGAGTTTATCGCATGTGTTCACAGGTTTTCTCCCTCTTTCTCCGCCCACTCACAAACTTACATACACACACGCAGCCTTGGCCCATTAACATTTGGACCATAAAAGACCCCACACTAAAGGGAGTTGGCCACAGGCGAGCATGTGGGCTGACACACGGCGCAGGGGGAAACCTTGACCGCCAAGGATACATTAACTACTGAGGGCTCTCCCCACCCCCCTCCTCCAACCTTGAACACAGACAGAGACAGTTCTGGTCACGATGATGAAAACTGCTGGTGTCATCAGTTCCAGCCCCAAACCCCTGGAATAATATCCTGACATTGAAGGAAATAAAAACCCACAGCAATCAATTAGCAGACTGGCATGAGGGGAAACCAGTGGTTTTAGAGAAGACTAATTGTGCGTGAATCAGAGGCTATGTATGTGGAGATGAAAAAGCCTTTCTGTTAATTAAGGGAGGGGAGAGTTTACGACTGAGCTGCAAGCTACGGGACATCCTGAGCAAAGAGGTTGCAATCTAAACAACTGCTGGCTCTTTCACGTCAAGATCTTACTGTGAGTGGAATTACTTGGGTAAGCATGTGGTGTAAACTTCTGTTTAATACTGTTTGTTTTACCTAGCAACAGGTGCATGTGTCAAAGTATCAGTTGAGGAACGCTTAACTTTGGCCTGTATTAAAATCAAGTAATTTAGTTCTGCAATACATAAAGTTGAGGTTTAAAGAGAGAAAGAGTAGTCAAAAGCAATGCAGCAGGGGTCAAAAACACAAGATCCTACACTTCCCAAGGCTGAAATAGTCAGGGTTATTTTCTCACACTCTAGAAACCTCAACCAAAGCCTTGAAGCCTGGTCTTGATGTATAAAATTGGTTACACAGTTCCCTTTTAGGTCTTTATCAGTAAATGTAGTACATTGTATGCAAGATAATAGATAACTTTTTTGTTTTGTTTTGCTTTTACAAATAATACATTGACTATGATCATACACAACAATTAAGCAGTGCTGGGCGGTATGACCAAATGTCTGTATTAAAGTATTTTTTAAATAAGTTAGAGCAGGTGTTCCAACTATGCAACAGGCGGAATATGAAAAATGTATATCACACGGGAAATTAAAACCAGTATACAGGTCTGTCTGGTATAGCTTTTGCTTATTCAAACAAACTCATATGTGTGATATTTACAATGCAAGCAGTGTTGGATATTATGTATGGATTTAAAGGATCAGTGTGAAGGATTTAGTGGCATTTATTGGTGTAGTTGCAGATTGCAACTCTGTCGCTTTGTCGTCCCCTTCCAAGTGCAAAGGAGAAACTAGTGTGGCTGAGAAATGCGGGAAAAATGGGAACGCCCCTGTCTAGAGCCATCGTTTGGTTTGTCTATTCTGGGCTACTATAGAAACATGGCGGTTCAACATGGCAGACTCCATGGAAGGCGATCCGCATCTGTAGATATAAATGTCTCATTCTAAGGTAACAAAAACATAACAATTCCTATATTCACGTGATTATACACTATTGAAAACAAACCTATGCATATTATCCTCCTAAATGTTACACACTGGATCTTTAAGACTGAACTGAAAATTTGGAATAGAAACTGTGAAAGACACGTGGAATGTCATTCTCACGACCAAAAACGCACTGACATTTCTCCCTTTGCCCATCAAACCCTCTTTACATTGACTGTATTAATAGACTGCAACTTCACCAGGCTAAACTCTCATAAAGAGCCTTTTTTCCATTTACTCTGCTCTGACTAATTATTCCTCATCTGATCCTGATGAGTACATTCAGTTTTTGGCAGTAGTCGTCCTACATGATTTCAAGTGCACACAAATGTACACACACAGGTTAATACAGCAGTAGGTCTTGGCATAGTGGAAATTTCTTGAGCCAAGGAAAACTTCCTCTCTATATGGACTACTCATCTTTGTGTAATTACTCTAGTCCTTATTGTATCCTTTTCCATATCTTGATTATGCCTTCTAATACAATGTACTCCAGGTTTCTAACATGGACGACAAAGTGCTGAAATGTGGCATTGGTAGTGGACCACAGAGTGTATATAAGATTTTAGCAGTATTAGTATTAGTTCCTTAGGTTTGTTTTGTTAATATACAATAAACTAGTTATCTAATAACACAATACATTGCTACTAGATACATTATGCCTATATTTACCAGAAATATTTACCAATATGCTAATTTCCAACTTTCTATTGATTGTAAAGTATTAAAAAGGCCAGAAAACCTCCAAACCATGAGTCGTTACCATTGGAGATATTTAACCATCTGCAACCATGCAGTAAATGGCCAGGTGAGGCCCATTTTAGAAGAAAATATAGACTCTGTCATTTAGAGGGAACAGTGCCCATCAAACCAGTCAACAAAAGGTTAAACTGCAGAGCTTCAAGGCTTTCCCCCTCCGTTCATAAAAAAAAGCAGAGGAGAGCGGGAGAGGAGAGAGAGAATAAGAGAGCGAAAAACTCACACACGCACACTTACACTTCAAAGCCCTGTCATCTGGCACTGCGGAGAGCTGGTTTGAATTAAGTTTAATTCTCCTCCTCTCTCGTCTTTCCAAGTTCATGGCAGAAGAGGGAGTGAAAGGAGGAGGGGGAGAGAAGAGAGAGAGAGAGAG